GCCACGCAATTTTGCTCTCAACCCAGGGAGCGTGAAGCTGGGGGTTCATAGTTCATAGTTTGTGCCCGCAACTACTTACAAATAATATGAATTTTTCAAAAAGTTTGCGCACTCCCCACGGGCTGCGCGAGCTTCTGGCTATATATTCAGAGTCCAACTCGGATTGCTCCGAAATGTGGCCATTTCTATGCGAGCATGGAGAGTCCTGGGGGGCTCCTGGGTACAGGGTTCAACGCTCGACTCCCCTGATCTCTCTTGTTCTCCATTGTGAGCTCCATTCTAATCTCAATCTGCCCCTCGCAGATTGGCAGACATTACGATGCAGCACCGCAAGTTAATTGCCCTTGCAACAAGGGTCATCATTCATATTTTATGGTTTTGTGGAGGGCTGCCACCATTTTGGTGGTTCAAGTTATATAGTTGGGTAGCAGTGAATGGAAATGATTACAAAATAATTCGGATATTAAATATTGAAAAATAAAATAAGATCTGCGCAAATATTAGGTGGGAATCTATTGTGTTCTTATCTAAATTCGTAATCAAACAAGTATTTTGTAATCTTACTCTTTCAAAATGATTTATTGCTTAAGTACATTTTTAGGCTACTATGTAAACATATTTTATATAACACTTAGTTGATTTTATGAGCCAATTTAAATGATATAAAAATATATTTAATTAAAAGTTCGCAGTAAACTTATATTTGAGTTAAAATATGCATATCTAACCTTATTTCAGCATGTTTAGTGTCACTTATAATCACATCATTGTGTCAAAATAATTTATTGATTTATTTTAACAAAGACATTTTTAAGTATCATGTCTCTATAAATTTAAGTAATTTCATCTTTTATCGTCACAATATATAATGTCGTATAAATCAAGGCAAACATAAGTTACTCTCGAGAAATATCTGCTAGGCGAAGTTGTGCCCACTTAAAAACAAATAAAACAGCGCTGCAAAATAAAACTGAGAGGAAAACTTGTTTGTGCTTTGTTTTCTTTATTGGGTGCATTAAAAAATGTAAATAAATGTGCCCCAGCACGCATATACAAAAATAATATACCGAATGTGGTTCTATGGTGAGTCACAAACAAACAGAATTGTATGCAGTCGAGACCCAAACAAATTTCAGTTTTTTTCACATTTATCTACTGTTTGGGTGGGTCACAAAAGGGGGCGGGGGGTGGGTCTGAGCCCCAGCCTAGAATATAAATTTAATTCCGACAACAACAGATTTTTTTTGCCTCGATTCAGGCTCAAGTCAATTTCAGGTTACGTGAGTGTGCAAGAGATTTTGTTTTGTTTTGCGCAGTTCGGTTTTTGGATGAAGGGGGAGGGGAATGGCCGCCACTTTCAATGGCCGCCGCATCAAGAGTCGCCCTACCTGTGTGTGTGTTCCTTAAAGTGTGTGAGTGCGACAGGGATGCAGCATGCGCATGGGAAGGAAAGAGGGAGATGGAGCGACTCTACCATAGTGGTTGCTACTTTACTTGTGCCCACTGTGGTTGCTACGTGAGTTTTGAGTTTTGGGTTCGATTTTCAGACCCTCTGACATTCAGTTGGAATGGGATTGCACTAACGGCACTTTTTAAAATCACTCGAAAAAGAGTTGTCTTTTAAATAACAAAAATGATTTATATTTTGTATAATAAATTCTTATTTAAATTCAATATTTAAATGAATTTATAATATATATACTAGTTTCTTATTCAAACTTTAAATATAGTTATATTTATTTGAATAAGTTTGTGCTTTTCAAAAAATATTTGGTCTTCACTGCATGTGAGTTTTTTATTTTAATAAAAATTTTTTAAACAATTCTTAAATATCATAATTAAAAAATATTGAAGGTTATTTTTTGATATAATAGGTAGTGCTAGCCATTTCTTTCAGTGCCCCATCCGAAATAGCTTCTTGATTCAACTTGAACCCGTTCGGTGTGCAGCTGTTTATGGCTGCCGTCTCCCACCACCCACCATCTACAATCCACCAGACGAACCGGCAAAAGTTTGTTTACGATTCGAAGCTGATTCGATTTTTGTTGATGCTGATCCTCTGAAGGTGCTGCTGCTCGTTGGTTGTTTAATTAGCCGCGGCCTTCGGAATTCTGACGCAAATAAATCAAAGAGCAAAACAGACAAGAATTTTCCCTCAAAAATTGCGGAATGTAAGAACAGGGAAATAGGAAAACAAATGCACTTTAAGAAAAAAGATTTAAGTAAGCATACAAAAATTAAAGAAAACTTAAGGAAAATCAAAACATCTTCACATTAATTTGGTATCATATTAGAGACCGAAAAAATATACATATTACCAAGATTAAACGTCACCTTTATTTAAATATGTGAACGTTTTAAAAATAACGCTTTATATATATACGGTCAGTTTTATAATTTTTCTCATTCTTTCATCCCGTCTGCCATTAATATTTCACTTGAGGCACAGCTCTTTAACTAATCCCCAACCCACAAAACCAAAAACAGGTGAGAAAGGGCTGATTGTTGTACCTCAAAATTGGCAGCACCTTCTGGCACTTAATGAAGTTGGTGCCCAACCCTTAGACATTTTGGCCGCTCATCTGGCCAACCCTTTATATTATCCCGCCGGACTGTCTCTGCAAACCCACTGCCCTCTGCTAATTGCGCATCTTTTATGTAATCAAGTCGGTCCCAAAGCGCTGGAAGGCCGCGGAGAAGCTTGTTTCATGCAAATGTAGCTAGGAAATTAGTCAAATTAATTCAATTTGGCCGAGCAATTGGAATTTGCAGCACGCAGCGCTGATTAAAATTTCAAATGAACTTCTATACGAAATCCCCATTGAAGTCCATTGAAGAGCCAGAGCCACATACACGAAGTTTTCTGCTGCAGACGTAATTTCATTATTTATTTAGAGCCTTTCAGATACGGCAAGCCAAATAGGAGCTGCTCTGAGCCTTCTACTACAAAATGAGCCCTAAACGTGTGTTCAATTAAGGTAAATAAAGTTTGTATAAGCAGAGCGATATTAAAAAATATTCAGATCTAAAATTTATATAATAAAAATTCCTTTTGTTAAATAACTCGAAACAAGTTCTTCTGCTCAAATTTAATTTAAACTAACCACTGATAGCAACCCATTTTCTATGGTTTTAAAAGAGTTTCGCCGCCTTCGTTTTAAGTTTTATTTTATTTCCGCAATAATTTCTCAAGTCTAATTGCTGCCTTATCTATTTCCACCTGCTGTAACTAAAGTTTTATTATTTTCATTTGCGCCCAAGTAAACAATATGCCGGCTAAGTTCACTCCTTCGAAACGATCTGGGGAGCGTTTAATTAGGTTTGGCCATGGCTTCGATGAGTGCGCAGGTAGGGCCAAAAGGCGGAAGAGAACATTTAATTAAAAAGCACAAAAGGCTGGCAAATTGCGGCCACAAATAAAGCAACCAATTGAAGCGAGTGTGGCAGGCGTTTAATGAAGCAGGCAAACAGGAACTTCGCACACTGGCGAGAGTAGGGGAAAATAAACGAGGTATTTATGTGGCGTCTCAAGACATCAGCCCCAATCCCCAAACCCCGACAACCAGCCCAAGTCCAAGTCGAAGTCGAAGTCAAAGTCAGGTCTTAAGTGAGAAAGTGGAGCACGAGAGGGGCTTCTTTTGGGGGCGTAGCAACACATACATAATTGACTGACGGGATAATTTACTTCCGTGCACTTGCGTGTTTATTAAATTTCTGGGTTTGTCCCAGGGCATTGATTCCTCGAATGGAACTGTGTGCTGCGGGATACCAGGCAGCTTGACAATGCCAGCTGAGCTCGCCCGAATTTCTGATATTGCGTAACCACATGTAATTACGTGTATATCTCATTAGTTTGGAATCGTGACTGGCTTTGGCTGGCTTCCTCGAAAGACTCAAGGCGATGGTACAGTGGAATAAAAGGGAGTTACTTAAAAAATATTTAAAATGCTTAATAGTATACATAAAATGAAATAAAAAATATCAAGGCGAATTCCTTTGATATTTATTTACATTTAGTAAAATATTTTCATTTCAATTTTCAAAGCTTGCCAGCATTACAAAGGTAAACAAATAAAATAATCTCATAAGCCTAACCACAACTATTTAGTTTGATTAGTTATTATAGAAAATAGTAAACAAAACTACAACCCTAATCTTCAAAATTACACGACATATAGTATTTAAATCAGGGTAAAATAATATACACAATTTACTTATATATATTTATATGAATATACAGTTGTGTTTGAAATTTGTATATCTTTTGCTGAATTTCCATTGTGCAGCCATTGCTAATATCCCCAGTTGGAGGAGACATGTGCTCTAAATAACCAAAGTGGGGAGTAAGGGGGTTGAAAGATAAGGAGGGGGCAGGCCAAGTCACGTTCGCAGGCCAACCCATTTACTTAGCTAAGCGATGAGGGTTGTAGTCGTACCTGCCTGCGCAGCCACCGCTTGAACAGGATTCAGGACCTCCCAGGACCTCCCACCACCCCTCATAGAAATTCGCACAACTTGTTACACGCCCGCCTTTTCCTTTTCCTTTTCCTATTGCGATTGCGATTCGAATTGATGGAAATCTTTGAGCTCCACGTTTCCGTTCTTATCGCTGGAATATGGAAATTTCGCCATTTATTTGATCAACTTTTTTGCCTTTTTCATATTGAACAAGGATGTGGAAAATAAAAAGCAAAAGGTACAACTTTGGGTCCCAACTATTTCACATGCCGCACACACACGCAGGCAGTTCTGTTTTTGGGAAAGTAATTTAGCAAAAATCATGTCGGCAAATAAAAATTTAAACTGGCAGGGGAACTTCAACGGTTTGCGTAGATCCCCTTCAACATTTTCGCTGACTTTCAAGTTGCACCTGCGACACAATTCAACTGGATAGTTCTCCGGTCGGCAGATGGAGTTTTATGCAGACTGCCATTATTATAACTTTCATTTGGCATGCATGTAAATATAAATATATGAGAAACGTTAAAATGGAGACTCACCTGAAGCAGCTGCCGACGGATTAAGTACTCCCTCCATTTGTAATCAAACTGGAATGAGATAAATTCAGAGAAAATAGTGTAATTTATTTAATATACATTTATAAAGCTAATCATATGGGATAAATATTGTAAAACTTAACTTATTTCTTAATAAATATAAGTATGATTTATTGTTACAAAGTAGAAAATGTTTTAATTCTTATTGAGATGAGTAAACTTAAAAACTACTTCTTCTTTTAACAAATTTCAACCTGATGGGCAAAATATTCTTAAGATCTTAAGAGCAAGGGTTTTTTCATGGAGAGAACTAGTTGTCATATGTGAGTTTTTCTATATTTTCCCATCGGCTACACTCCATTTCCCGGCTTAAGCAAGCGGACTCGCATGTAAAACACTTTTCACAGCCGGTTAAATGGATTACACAACGCAAATGGCCGGCCAGGACCCAAAGACTCCACTCTAACCCATTCGCCATTTGCCAAGGAAGGACGAACCGATTTATGCCGGAACACGCTCCTCATTATTATTTCACGCTTATCATTTTATTTCAATTCATTTCGGCCCACCGCCCACCGAAGCCCACCAACCCATTAAACCTTCCTCCCATTCCAATTCGAAGTGCGCTTTCGTGTTTGCGGAAAGCAGGAATACAATAAATATATAGTTGCTCCTTGCCGGGGATCGGACTTCCATCGAGGGACATTTATATGGAGATGCTCGAGATGCATTCATATTCCATGGGGTCCAGTTGCGGGTCTTCCGTGCGCCCCATTACCCTCCGCTCATTCGATTATGCCACCATCGATTCTGCCTCATATGTGGCATGCTTCATACTCGTACATGTTTGTGTTCGCTTTTATGCTCACATAGGTCGTGTGCCCTTTGCCACGCCCCCTGCCCCTGTCCTGCCCCCGAACCGCCATTCCACGCCCACGGGAGTCCCAGTCGAGTGGAGTGTCCATGTCCACGGAGTTTGTTTGTTTTCGCCATCAGCCATCTGCCCCCGTTCCCATTCAGTTTCTGTTTTTTTTCCCAAGCTCTTGTGTACTTTTTGCGAAATCTTTTTAGTTTCCTTGTTTGATAGACAAACAGACGGCAATCGACCGACCTCGAATTCCCCAATGGAATATGCTCGTGTGCATAAATTCTGGCGGAATACATGACTCCCTCCTCTGCCGGAGGCAAACTGCTTTCATTTTCATAATGAGCCGCCGGAGACGCGACCATTTTCCGTAGAGTGGCTGGCTGGATGGCTGGCTGGGTGGCTGGTCCGGGGTCCTCAAAGTAATTGGCCGCGCAACTTGTAAATGACAAACATGTCCAGGCCAAAGTGATGGAGTTTTCCTCTAGTTTTCCCCGCCAGCGACTGTCTGTCAGTATCGAAATTCCATAAAAGAGAAACTTTGGCTCATTAATATTTTTCGTTTTCGGAAGATTAGCTGCACGCGGCAAATGGAAAACAAGAAATGGTTTTCGGTATATATTCTCTGTTGTCGGCGTGTTGATTTGTTCAATTCGTGTTTCGATTTATTTATGTAGGCTCGTTGTTATCGTAACAAGGGTCACGATGGAACAAATCTACGAAGAAGCAGCTCCGCAGAAACTGGAAAACTTTTAAAGGGAGGTGTCATTTGAAATGCTGAAGAGGAACCTGAACCAGGAGGAGCCATTGTACCAATCAGGTCATGTAAACCTAAGAACAACATGTTACTGCCACTCTCTATCACAAATTTAAATTAACATAGAAGGTAAATTAGAGCAGAAGCTAAAAATATGTTCTCTGTTGATATTCTCATTGTACATCATAAATATCAAAAAAAAATTATGTTTTCTTTGTTTCAAAGAACATTTAAAAAATGTGATAAATTAGATTTTGGTGTTTATAGATTACTTTATTATTTATATATATTTTTATAATTATTGTTTTTTGAGGCAAAAAATAATAATAATTGAAAAAAAAAACATTTTAAATAATCTTAAGCAATCAACTGTATAAAAATTGCAATGTTCATCTAAATTTTGATTCAAAAGGCTTGATAAAATAACTTCTAATATCTTCCGAACTACACTGAGTACTTTTTCAAAAATATAATTAATAAATAAAATTTTCCCTTGACCTTTCCTTATACGAATTCGTAAAAATCTGAAATATCCTAATATCTTGCCGCCTGCTGTGGAAATGGAACGTCGGAGGCGACTCCGGCTGTGCGCAGCGGTCGAAGTCGCGAGATTGGAAAGGGTTTTACGATTCCGAACCGAAAACGTACCTCCTGGGTTCCTGCGCGCCAGAGTGCTACGCTCTGAATGCAATTACCGGAAAAAAACAGAGACAGATTTTTTGGTCAAAAAATGAAGCGTTCCTAATATTCCGGGAAAAGTGAAAGTGCTGCAGCCTCTGTTTATGGCGGCCATATAAATTGCAATTTGCAGCGTTCTCCTTTTTTGTTGTGTTGCGTTTTGTTTTGTTACACCGAACGGGTTGGGCATATGGGTCTGTGATCCGTATCGGCAGATATAGACACTCGATGCCACATGCCGACAGGCAGCACAAATATTTGCCCTCGTAAAGCAATCTGCTTCAGCTGGCTGAAGTCTCTAAACGAACTGTCTGTTATGACAATTGAATCCGCGCCGTCTTCCAATGCGTTGCAGTGCGATGCATTACAATAGTTCCCCAGTTGACCATCTCGGGAGTGGATGGGAGTGTCCAGAGTCGTAAAAGTTATGGATTCCAAATGCGAATGGCGCATGGCGGCCATTCGGATGGATCAACGAACCCGAAAATAGCAGATGCAGATCCCGCGATCCGATCGAGCAATTATTAATTGTGATTACTTCATTCGAGGCCGAATGGAGCCCCCGTTTTGGGCCTCATCCAAGAGGCCAAGTCGCCAAACTGGTTAACTGATGCAACTTCGTCGGCCACTGGGCATAAATTGCAATTTACGGTAAGCGGCGCGGCTTTGGTTAAATAATTCCCTATCGACGGAGGGAATAAACGGGTTTCGGCCGTAAGTTCATATATTTTATTCGCCATATTACTGGAAAAACGAGTGACTTTCTTGCACGCTGCATTGGCATTGCCACCTGAACATTAGTTTCTTTATTAATAAAATGTTTGCGGCTTAACTACGCGTTAAACTAATTTCTTTAAGTGAAGTGAGTTCTGCAGTAGCTGCGGTGCATCTGCGAGTAAAATGCATTGGTGGCCATTTTTGTTTGCATTTACATTTAATGCAAATAATACTGGTAACTAGTTTTTGTTTATGGGTGAGATTTCAATAAAGGCGGTCGCAGTTGGTTATCACATACATAGATTTATACAGTGAGAAAGACATTGTTTAGAAAAACTAAACTTAACTACAGAAAATAGAACCATACAAACTATTATTTAATATAAGTATGTCTTCATCTTTAAAATCTAATTGCAATATAAGAAAACAAGATTTTTCTTTGTTTCGAAAGTTAAAAATAAAAATTGAATTTACACAAAGATAGATTGATAGATAGATTGACATAAAAAATTATTCAAAAAGTATTTTGATATTTTCGTTGATATTTGTTTTGCCTAGATTTTGTGTGCCATATTTTTGTATCATGTCATTCTGCTTCGGGTTGATAAAAATAGCAAATTCTGTTCCTCTGAAAGTGGTAATTTAGCATATTGGCAAACAGCCTTTTTTAGTGAATTGCAAATTCAGCCTTTATCGGGCCTCGCGTGTGGTCCGTGCTCCAAAACCAGTTTCGGTTGCCCCACTCGACCGGCAGCACGTCCACACTCCAACCACCCATTTGCCCACTGTATGTGGCCCACTGTGCGCATGTGCGGTTTTCGCGCTGCCACGACCCCTGGGAAATCGCTCGCTTTTCCACCGCCAGGGAAAATTCTGGTACATGACGCCACACCGAAAGTTCTCCACGGATGCCACACCATATGGCAATGACAGCGCGTTGCACATGTGGCCCCCAAGTGTATCTGTATCTGCCCGAGAGTATCTGTATCTGGGTGTGTGTATCTCTGGCTGCCGCGAAAGGAGTTGAATGCAACGCGGTGGCCATATCATGACGACCCAGTCGTCTACTTCATTATCCTCGGCTTGTGGCAGCAACTTCGGATGGCTGAGGACGCAGTGCAGCTCTTGGATCACTTGCTTTTATACTTCAGATAAGCAGCAGCTTAGAAAAATTCCAACTTTCATCAGACGACGTCTGTCAGTCTGTCACTCAGCCAATCAGTCCGTCATAATTTTCCCTTCGCTGAGCTTTCGCTGGCTGCTCAGCCAGATTAAACTAATGCAAATACTTTCAAACTAAATAAAGTCGACGGCCCCAAAGGGCAGAGCAAAATATTTTGCTCATTGCCAAGAAGAAATACAACTTGCTTATCGCCTCAATTATTGGGTGCGTTCAGCGTGGTAATCACTTTATTGATTAGTGATTTATTATTAGGATTACTTCTATTACAATTTTGCTAATTTGATTTCTTGAAAACAAGAAAAACAATAGATTTTGTAATGTTTATTATTGTATTACAGCGAAACCATAAAACAGCTCTTCAAATTTTTGAACATTTATGTTGGGGGTGTTCATTGTTTTCAATGCTCTCACTTATAAATTCAGTTTTATTTTCATTGTGACACGCTCCAATTTGTTAAAATATTACGACGCCACATAATTCAATTTGGTAATCGGATCTGTCTTTATTATATGACAGCTTGATTTGCCTTTATTATATTGTCTTAAAAGTCACTGATAAGGTTGCCCACATGCGAGTAGGCTCATAAAAGTTGACTTTAATGGATGAAATAAAACATTATACATTATCAACAGTACTGAGATTAATTTGGGACTAAGCTTTTGTGATTCAAATTTTGTAGTTCGCAAATTCTGAATTCACTGGGCGATAATATATAGATTAATAATCTTTGTGAAATGCTTGATTATTATGTTTTTTAGTTTTGTATATTATAAAATATTCTTTTATATTCTCAAAATCAACCTGCAAAATTGTAAATTTAGTTGGAGAGGACGAGGAGGTGCTTCGCTAT